TACGTCTACTACTACGTCTACTACTACGCCTACTACTACTACTACGACTCCTACTACTACTACGACTACTACTACTACTACTACTACTACTACTACTACTACTACTACTACTACTACTACTACTACTACTACTACTACTACGACTACTACTACTACTACTACTTACCACTACGCGCCAGCACCCAGTTGCGCCAGCATTGTTTCTTATGTTGTGGGAGGGCGGAACGTGTCCGTTGTTCCTTTCAACATGGCCAGTCTTGTCGTCGACGATGCGAAATGCGTGGCGGGAATGGGACGCGGCGCACATCCCGCGCGGACGTCAATGCGGTGTCCTGGGGTATCCTCCACTCGCACTGAAATGCCCGCGCAGCCCCCAGTTGTGCCATCACTGTTTCTTATGTTGTGGGGGAGGGCGGGTGGGAATGGGCATGCCATGTTTGACTCGCTCGAGCTGGCTAGCTTGACCCCCACCCCCACCCCCACCCCCACCCCAACCCCCACCCCCACACCCACCCCCACACCCAGCCCCACACACACCCCTACACACACCCACACACACACCCACACACACACACACACCCACAAATACCCCCATACACACCCCCATACACCTCCATCCCCCCCCCCCACACACACACACCCACACACACACACAAACACACACCCACACACACACACCCACTCACACCCACACACACACACACCCACACACACCCGCACACACAGACACAGACGCAGACACAGACACAGACACACAGACACACACAGACACACACAGACACACACAACCACACAACCACATAACCACACAACCACCACACAACCACACAACCACACAATTACACAACCACACAACCCACAATCCACAACCCACAAAACACACAACACACAACACTCAACACTCAACACACAACACACAACACACAACACATATATATATATATATATATATATATATATGCACAAGTGTATATCTATACAGAGAGATAAAGACAGAGGAGGATAGAGAGGGAGGTGGCATACAAGAAGCTATTGGCTCTGCAACCGTCGTGCCACCATCAGGAGCGCTGGTAAAGAAACCCACGGCGAGACCAGGCATGCATAGATTCCTCGACCTTGGACCTGAGGAGTGGCCCGAAAACCAGAGCCCAACGGGCCGCTTTCCATCCTGAACACGGGCGTCTGACTCATGCTTTGTGGCCCGCTGCCCTGTGGAGCACAGTGCAGCGCGCAAATAACAAGGTGCAGAAAACGCCCAAGTCCCGAGGGTGGGTCCGCACAGGCTCTGTTAGCTCGAAGAATGAATGGGTACGACGACGATGAGTCATGTGCGTGCGAACTATGAGTTGCAAGCTATGTGGTGCAACCAATGCGGTGCAAGCTGTGTGGTGCAGTCGATGTCTGCATTCAAAAAAAGCAACGAGAGAAGCGCCCGCGAGGGGCTCTGGGGCGGGTGCTGGGCGAACACCTGGAAACACAACTAACGCAAGAGGCGCCCGTAGGCAACTACCCGGCGAGAACAAACGAAACCGGGCCCAAACACGGTGCGCCCACGAAGGGCCCGCTGGCATGCACCAGGCGAAAACCCAGGTACACGTCCCTTCATGCAAGCATTGAGCGAGGAATGCATGGTCATGATGCGATTGCTGGAACGGGCAACCATTGACGCCAAGTGTAACTGCACCTGGCTCTAGGGAGGAGCAAGGTAAGACGGCAGAAGACAAGGTCGCGCTGCTCGGGGCGTGTAGATGGGATGGTGGGGGCGTCATGCGAAAACTCTCCAGTGGCGGCCCGCCCTGCCTTTCACGAAGACCATTTACGTCGTGTCACTGCGCCATCTAGCATCAACACCAAGCCCTGATGTATAGGCATGGGGATCTGCTGCGTGAGTGGTTTACGATGCTGGAAGTCCCGTATAGGTGTGCAGGACTGACATGGCAGGCAAGGGGCCACATCCGCGCCCACTCTTTCGCAATCCAAATTGCGTTGGAAGCGAATGGCCCTATAGGTATATATATATATATATACATACATATATATATACACGAGACTGCAGTGGCGCTTCGCGCCATGCACCTTGGTCCTTGAAGTTTGGTATGCAGGCCGAATAGCAAGAAAGCCAAGGCGACAATTGAGCGATAACTCCTTGTTGCCTTTTCCGGCATCGCCGCTATAATAATGTTATTCGGTATCCTTCCTTCATGCTTATTTTTCCTTATTTTCGCCATACCTTGGGCATTCTCCCCATCCTCCTCAGCTCTTTTTTGCGGAGGCTCCTCCTTGGAGAGCCTCTGGGGGCCTCACAAAAAGTTGTTTCAGGCTTTCTTAAGGCCCTCTGGAGGCCTCCTGGGCGTATTCTGGGGGCCTCCGGGGGCTTCCTCGGGCCACCCTGCCTCCAATCGCGGTCTCCCTGAACGACCGGGTCACGATTTGGAATGCTTCGGAGGGTGTCTTTGGGCCATCTTGGGCCGCCATTGGGCTCTCTGAGGGCCATCTTGGACCCGTGTTGTGCCGTTTTGGGGCTCTCTTGGACTGCCTAAAGCCCTTTCGAATGGTTGTGGGGCGATTTTGGGGCCTGAAGACCGCCGTCTTGGAGCGTCGGGAAGCCGAAAGGAGGAGAACCCCCAAATTCACCAAAAACCGAAAGAAAACCAATTATTTTTGCCTCGGGGGGCCTTCTTGGGAGTGCTCTTGGAGCCCTCTTCGGGGCCGTCCTGGAGGCCTCTTGGGCCATCTGGAGGTCACGTCGGTCACTCTTGGAGCGCTCTTGTGCTGTCTTGGGGGTGTGCTGGGAAGGCTTGGCAAAACGCCCTGCGAGGCCTGGGGGCCGCTTCGAAGCCCGTCCGGAAGGTCCCAAAACCCCAGATCCCGGGAATACGTTTTTTTTGGGGGGGGGGTGACGGGTTTTCCCCCCGCCTGGGCTTGTAAAAATATAGGAAGAGGAATATGTGGCAACGGGCGAAGCATGGCTGAAGAACTGTGGCGATGCAGACTCTTGCCCCTGGCCAACACGCGCATCTTGCAAACTCCGATGGCGCGGCGAATCTGCGCTACGTTTAATTCAGGGGGTCTTTTCTGCAGTCGAAGATGGAACAACCGGACCAATGGTAATACATTGTGCGACATAAATTGAGGGATGAAAAAACGACCCTACCCTGGGTTACAAGTGCGTGGTCTGTAAACCTCCTGGGAACCCCCAAAGCCTAGAGCCGCCAGGACGCGGCACATTACGCAGGGCTTACCCTGTCAGCCCACAGGAGTTTCAGCGCACAGCGCCTCGTAAACCAGGGTAGGGGCGTTTTTTTATGCCCTTGGATCAAGAGCAGGGCCACTGAGATCTGTGAGGAAAGAAACTCGTGCTGGACAACGCATCGGCGAACACCGAATAGGGAGGTGCCGATACCGCTTTCGAGGACAAACAACAACGGAGGCGGGACGGCTGCCAAAGAGACTGACGCGTGAACGCTGCGTGCCTGCGGTCGAAGGGTGGGCATAGCAAGGCTACCGACTGGTTGGCGCTTGATGGTGCAAACACTCCCGTAGCTTGAGCAAGTGCTGAATCGTTAGAAGAAGAGGAAGAATACCAATGCTACTACTACTATTAATAATAATTTCAAGTAGTACTAACAATATTAACAATAATAACAATACTAATAGTAAGAGTCATCGTAATAATAAGAATACTACAAATAATCATAATAAAAGTAATAATAATAATCATAATAGTAATCGTAATAATAATCATAACAGTGATATTAGTAAGAGTAATAATATTAATAATCATAATAATAATAATCATAATACTAATAGACGTAATAGTAAGAGTAATCGTAATAATAATCAGAATGCAAAGTAATAGTAATCGTACTAAT